CCTGATGGGCTAATCTTGCATTTGCCCACAGTCCCTGGGTGTTACAAGGTGGCTTGGCCCAGGGACCACTTAGGGCAAGTGTTGGGCCCATAGAGCCCATTTGATGGGTTTCAGGGGGTGCACTGTCCGTAACAGTGTATTCGGCCAGGCCTTGTAACAAAGGCTAGGCTGAACCCATGTGGCTGATGTGTAGATCAATGCTTGGGTCCCACGCTGTACAAGGAAGCCCAACTAGGCAGCAGTTAGGAAGGCTAAGTGAGCACATAACTTTATTGGGTCTAAAGCCCATTTCGAACTGGGCTAATTTAATGAGTTAAATATGGGGCGAATTCTGAGATGGATCAGTAGATAGGATAGAGTCTTAACCCTATCCACTCAGAGAGTCCAGATCTGAATGTGATTCAGATCTGGAAACCTCCTAATGAGATTAGGAGAAGGCTGATCTAATCTGCAGATAAGATAAGGGTTTATCCTTATCACCTAAATGGATGTCAGATCAAAATATGATTTGGATCAGCAACTCCTAATGGGATTAGGAGCTGATCCTTTAGGGTTACAAAAGAAGGAAGGGGCGGCAGCCTTTAGAAGACACATATTCACATCCCCTTTAGAGCTGAAATCACAGAAGAAAGAATTAAGCAACCCTGCATAATTCTTTCTTGCCGCCTCCTTCTTCTTGCCGCCTACCTTGCCAGTTCGACCTCCAGTTCAGTGGGAGAAGTCAAGATTTGATCTTGATATCAGTTCTTTGTGAAAKGACTGATAGGAAGCTGTGCTCACGTGCCATCCTGCTATTTCTTGCGAAGGACTAGGTTCTTGGAGAAGAACWCTGCTGATTYTGCTCYATCCTGCACTGCGCCATCTTCAGTGGGAGCAGTCTTTGGATCCTTCCTTGGGCATGAACACCTCCATTGGGAGATATTACTTCTCCGTATCAGGTATAATTCTCTCCTACTGCTTTTGTTCACATCTGGTTCAGTTTATGGTTCAAGATTGATCCTTGAAAATATGATTTTCTAAATAGGGAATTCGATTCCCAGTTGAAAGGGAGAGAAATTTTTTGAAATTCGCCCACCTTATTCCGCTAGGAGAATTTTTTGAAATTCTCCTATCCATTTGTATCTGAAATTTGAGAAGCTTTCTTTCTATTTTTGTGCAGGTGGCCTCTTAACTGACTTGGGAATCCTATTTCAAGACTCCTTTCTCTACTTGGGGAAAGAGGCAAGATCATGTGAACGTGTACTAGAGCTGCAATATTATAGATCTGGTGGGGAGAGGAATATGAGAAAATTTAAAGGCTATCACAAACCAAGGGCACTCTGATAGAAAGTATCCTTGTGAGAGTTGCAAATTGGGTAGAAGCGATACCATTATTTGCAGTGTCCTCATCAGACGATATTTTTAGGTGGCAGATTGTGGCTTCCTCTTCCTTGATTAGAGCCCACGAGGTTTCCATTTTGGTCTCCTCAAATTCATGGTTTTGATGGATGCAATTTGGGTAACCTAGGGTTATGAGGAATTGGGGGAGTTTTCAGGAATCATCATGGTATGATCCCATGTACAAGTATGATCCTATGTAATTACATGATTTCAGTTATGTTCTCTGGACGTATAGCAGAGGGGGACTCCACAAGGGCTGAATTATTGGCAATAGGGATAGAAGCTGGCAAATTCTCTAGACTTCTTAAACTCAGTGGTAGGAGACTTAAGATGGTAGTTGGATGGATGAAGAATAGCTTTACAGGGTCCTGGAAATACAGATATGAGACTTAAGTTGTATCTTTAGCTAGTGAGCTAAGAGCCCAAGGGAATGAATTGTAATGAACAATGAAATATTGTGATAGGTAGCTGATGCTCTAGCCTATACCTATCCTCTCCACCATTAATTCATTCTTTCATCGTAACCAATAAAATTTCTATTCGTTAATGATCCAAAAGGTAGAAAAAAAAACAAGATTCATAACAAGCCTGAAAAAGCCTTGCATAAAATACAGATTCCATACCTGTCAGTGTTTAGCGTTCTGAATAGTACCCGACGTACACCTCTAGGAATGTTTAAGGATTTCATAACTTCAGCTGTAAACGATGGAAACTTTTAACAACTGATTCAGTCCACAAGAATGATGAATCAGAGTTGAATCATAGAAATAATAAGCGGATCTGAAATAAATACAGACTTTAATTGGTTTCCATTCTAAAATTTCACCATGAGCTTAACCAATGTTACCTAGACTCCATTTCTCACATTACAGAAAACAAAGAATGAAAGTAAATAATGGTATGTTTTTATGCATCATTGACATACCATTTTCTTGCGTTATTGATTGATAAAAATAAGTCATTAAATTGTATAAATTCTGTAATACAGAATTTTTAATCAGATACTGGTCTACAATTTAAACCATATTATGGACAGCATTTTTTGTATGAGTAATGGACAGCATCTTTTTTGAGTGTTTATTATGGACAGTATTTTGGACCAATATACATTATACACAAATTTTCCTACAGCCACAACCTCTCTAGGTCATCTTAAGTTGATATTCAATACATTCACTGCCACCCAATTCCAGCTTTTCTGGATTTTCTTCAGTGACTTGGCTATGGAATGTGAGAGGCGGTCAGAAAGATGAATAATCATCTGCTTATGGAAGAAATTGAAGAATTTCAGGGACATCCTACAAGATCAATTTGTTGCAAATAATTTGACTTTATTATTATTATGGTTCCGAAAGTAACTGTTTCCAACTAGTCCTATAATAATGCAAACTGCCAGCAGTAATTCATTGAATTGGTTAGGTACAAAGTACTAATACCCCCCACCCCCATCATCCACTTAAAGGATTAATTTTAGGATAGGAACTTCCCCATCATAACAGGTTGTTCAGAAGGATGTCCTGTTAAAGGTTCTGCTTTTCCCAGATACTCGGGGATACTCAGGTTCAAATACCCATACCAGTATCATAAGTTCAAAAAACACTAGTTTTCTTGAAGACCCAACCCCTTTATAAGAAGAAATAAGAATGAAATAACACTCACCGCCTTCTACAATGCATCTTCCTAGTAATATTGTGTATTTCTAATGATAAAAAAAAAAAAAAAAAATTGTGCATTTCCCTCCCAATGAAACTAAAGGATCTGTGTCTCTGATCTTTTTGACCCCTTAATCTTTTAGACTCAGTGCCACAAATGTTGCATTTGTACTTTGGTGAAGGATATTTAATTTGGGCATAGAATTCCTCCCCCACCATCAATAAGTCTACTCAAACTATATCCCAGAATTTCTGTAAGTTTCTAAAGTATAGCTGTCAGGGCCTGGGGCTAGGGCTGTCAATGGGTTGGGTCCAATGTTTTGAAAATCGTAATTGTATCGTAAATCGTAGAGAAAGTTGAATTGAATCGAATCGTGAATCATGTTGTAAATCATAAGATTATTTCTATTTTATACAAACTTGTAAAAAAATAAATACAGATATATTAAAAGGTTAAATATATATAGGAAAGTGATTTTACCCTATTTTTTATCTATATCTACCATATATGTACTTGAAACAATAGAATTTACCACTTATACAATAGAAGCCTAAGAGTGATATAATCAAGTTTGACTTGAAAATCAAACAAATCTAAATACAATGGCCCTTTAACTTACATATGATAGAAAATAAACTCAATTTCTAGTCTTGAATCATGTAAATAAGTCATTTTCTAGAAGGGCTTTAAAAAAAGTCTCCCATGGCAAAACTAAACATAAACAAAAAAAGTAGAGAACTAATTCTTAATTGAATTTATTTGAATTGTAGTGAATCGTAAAAATCATAAGATTTATGAATCAAATCATAGGATTCAAACAAAAATTACGATTTTTGTAGAAAAGGATTCAGACATAAGATGGCATAAGATTCGAATCGAAACCCTTGGGATTCATGATTCAAATCGTGAATTGAATCGTAAATCATAAGATTTTGCCAACATTGGTCAGGTCTGGGTAGGGTCTAGATAGAACCAGTCCTGAACCAATTATTAATTGGGACAAAATAATGGACCCAGAACCATTCAGATTAATAGCTAGGTCCTATCAGGTCTTACAAGATAGACTCGATTATTCTGAAAACTATATTCGTTCATTTAAATGATAACTTAAAACATAAATTTTGATAATACAATCTTAATAAAAATTATAGTCAAATCCTAAATTGTTTATATGTTAATAAATTAAACATTTATAACTAATATTATCTTATACATTATCTGTCAAATTTACAATTGCAGACATGAAATATAATAGAAATTATAATAAAATTAGGAAAACATTATATGTTACATGCTGGACCAATACGCCAAAAGTCTTAAGACTGATGGAACATGTCAAGCCAAGCATTTTTAACATTTTAGGACCGTAACATACCACCGCACTTCTGCAACCAACGACCCAACGGCTTCACTCTAGGCAGCTCTCACTCTAGCTATAGGTAGCCCTTTTCACAATGGCTCTCACTCTGGCGGTAGGTAGCTCTTCCACGATGGCTCACACTTTGGTGGGTAGCCCTTTCCCTGTGGTGGATTTTACTCTACTACAGGTAGCCCTTTCCATGATGGCTTTCACTCTACTTCAGGAAGCCCTTTCCATGACAGCTTTTACTCTACTCTAGGTAGCCCTCTTTTACATGCCTTAGGAGAACTCACCCCTAAAAGCTAGCTGTTAGAGGGAGGGAACCCAGACACATATACACCCCACAACAGCATCCCATACTACCGATGTGGGACCAACAGATCATAACATTCCACCACGCTCCGCAGGCTGGCTTTGCACTAGTCCACCTAGTCCCGGCTGAACACTGCAATACCAACGTCACCACCTGCGCCGCACGATCGCAACTGGGAGGCATAGTGTAGGCTCTGATACCATCTGTTATGTGCCTTAGGAGAATTCACCCCTAAAAGCTAGCTGTTAGAGGGAGGGAACCCAGACACATATACACCCCACAACAGCATCCCATACTAGCGATGTGGGACCAATAGATCGTGACACCCTCTCCATGATTCAAACTTTAGACGTGGTGGTAGCCTGGTAGGCTCTGATACTAGATCTATTTGGAACAACCTAACTCTAGAACTTCCAGAAGGAAGCTCAGCCTTCGCTCCTGCATAGAGAACATAAGAACGATTAAGAGAAGAAGAGAGAGGAAAGAAGAGGAAGAGGAGAAGGAGAAGAGAGAAGATAGGGAGGGAACATTAGCTCAATTAGGGTTCGTGACCCTCATTCCACTATCAACTGCCTTATATAGGCTTGTACAAAATATCTCCATAACAGAATTAGTTATCCTTTGTCTTATTGAGTGGATGATGTGGCTTCCTAATGTAAAATTTGATGTGTTGCCAAGGAAGCTCCCCTGCATTCACGTTGCGTGTAGTGCTCATGTTGGGGTTGGGCTCACGTACCAAACTGTCCATAATGGGCCTAGACCCAAGAGTGTTTCCAACAACACCCTCCCCTTCAAAATAGACCTTGTCCTCAAGGTCTATCTCAGGAAACTCCTGATGAAACTTTTTTCATGCTTCCCAAGTCACCTCCTCCTTTGGAAAATTAGTCCACTGCACCAAAACCTCTTTGGTAACCTGCTTGCCTTGTTGAGTCCAATGAATCTCTAGAATCTTGCAAGGGTGCAATTGCACCTGGCCTTCATCGTTGAAGTGAGGAAGAATCGGGCTTGAGGACGTGGCTGGGCCAATGTGCTTCTTGAGTAATGAGACTTGAAAGACAAGGTGGAGTTTGGAGGTCACTAGAAGCTCAAGCTAGTAGGCCACCTTCCCTACCCTCTCAATAATGCAAAAGGTTCCATGATATTTTGGGGCTAGCTTTTGCCAATGTGCTTGACCAATACGCCAAAAGCCTTGAGACTGATTGAATGCGTCAAGCCAAGCACTTTAACATTTTAGGATCATAACATTATATAGTTAATAAAATAATAACCAGAGCTGACATAATTTGTTCGGTTCAGTTTGGGCAGTCGGGCAGAACCAACCCATTGACAGCCCTACCAGAGGCCTTCTCACCATGTGCAGAATTTGGAGATACACAACTTCATCATCATCAACTGGCCTCTTGAGCCAATCTGCATACCAGATGTGAATGAAATTCACCCAAACTGGTTCAGGGTGGAAAGAGGATTGTTCAAGTTAAAGATATCTAGAAATTAGCATTTCATATCTCAAGTCTCAATCTCATCCATTGACTTGGATCCAAGAAATTGGATTGGAGGGTGACAAGCACTAGTGATGTGGTAAACGAATAATAATAATTTTGTTCTCATACTTTTCTAGTTTTCTTTAAGCAAAAAAAAAAACCAAAGATTTTGGCTCCATGTCCATGATATCTCCTCATTCTCAAGCAGTAAAAATTCATCATTAACTTCATGTCTTGTCATTTTTCTGGTCCAGATTAACAACCCCATTTCCCTCTTTGCATCCAGGTCCTTAATTTTTTAATCCTTTCTTTCCGTATCTCCAACCCCTCCCCCAACTCCTCTTTGTTTCATTTTTCCGTTGCTCTTCTAGAGCTATTAGTTTGGTTCCAAATGCAAAACAAGCCTTCTCTTCATCATGAAATGAATTCCACCATGCTCCTTTTCAATGAAACCAGGGACCATAAAAACATAGTTTGGCTCTAACTTCTAACGAGGAAGGTACTCTCCTTCTGATGTAGAAAGGATGAAGAGTAGTCACCACTGCAACTCTTTTTAGGGATGGCAATTTTCCCCATCCCCACTGGTACCCGATCCGGGGTTGGGGATGGAGATTGCTTTGGTGGGGGCAGGGACGGGGATGGAGAATAAAGTCCTTGCCCTGCCTTGATATATATTATTCGTATTAAATATATAATATTATTTATATTTTAAAGTTTTCCTTTATTTTAAGTAAATGTGTTTTTCAAAAAATAATGCTAATTAAAAATTTTTGGGGATTCGGGTCCCCACGGGGAACCCGTCTCTGTCTGGGATCGGGAATGGAGGATAATTTTTATCCCTAGTGGGGATTGGGGTCAGGGATGGGGAATATGATCCCCACCCCAACCAGCCCCATTGCCATTTTTTTTTTTTTGATAAATAACCAGCCCCATTGCCATTCCTAACTCTTTTTATTTGTTTTCTGTTTTCTGCTTATTTCTTTTATTTACTGTTTAGCCCTTGTAAACATATGAATTTATACTTTTATCCCTCATAAGGGCTACCTTATAAACTGTACATATTTATCCCAAATATGATACTAACCTTTGGATCGGGATTGGTGACAGATTCTCCAACACCCTGTGCATCTGTTTATTCTCTTGTTTTGTTTTCACATGGACTGGTCAGTACAGTTCAGACTTTGGGCAGATTGATTATACCCAAGTTTAACACAAAAAAAAGAGGCATTCGCACACATGATTTTTTTCTTCCCAATTAAATAAGAAAAAGTTAATCTGAAGCAGATTTACCTGTAATGTTTTTATCCCTCGGAACATCCACCAATAGTGCAGGACCTGTTGAAGTCAATAGATCAAACATTCAGCAATATGAAATGAAAATGAGAGAGAAAGAGAGTCAACTTGGACACAGATGTATTTCTGAATCAGATGATGATAATGGAGTACTTAAATATTTAAAGATAACTAAAAAAGTGAAAATCAAACAACCCTTCCAAGCATGTCAAACTCAAATCCTCTTGCAGATGTTGGTAACTTGGTATACAGAGGAAAAAGGTTTATTAGTGATATAGGCCAGAAAGTGCAATGCTTTCTTTAAGATCTCTATCATTTCAGTAGAAGTTGCGGATAACTAATTCTGATGTATACTTTGTGAAGAAAAAGTAGAAGACACTGAAAGGTTTCAGCAAGAGAGAAAGAGAGAGAAGAAGAAAAGAGAGTGGGATGAGGCCAGAATTGAATAGGTCTGGCCGCCAACCCCTCTTTGAATTATATACTTAAAATAAAATAATGAAAGATTACAAGAATGCCCTTAGTAGGGCAGCTACTTTAAGTATCTGAACAGTCACAAATTCACAACTTAAAAAAAAAAAAAAAAAAAAAAAAAAAAAAAAAAACATAAACTAATGGGCCTAAAGCCCAATAACTTCCTAACTTGACAACTTAAAGATAAAAAATAAATGACTGGGCCCAATAACTTGAAATCAGCCCAACTCAACAATTTCCAATCTTTAAATATACAAACAATGAATTTTGTAAGAGAACGGGTATGATAAACAACAAGAGGGCAAAATGCCTCCAAGCTAGAGAGAGAGAAACTGTTGGAACTCCCCAAGCTCTCTCCTCATAAAAATCTCTGTTTCATAGACTTTGTCACTGAAGTAGATACAGATATGCTTTAGGTGAATTCTAATTTAAGTGCATTGTCATTTCTTTTGTGATTGGGACACTGATTTTAGTTATAAGTAGGATTCTTATTACCTTAAACATGTAATATCAAAAGCTTGAACATGCATAACTCTTTTCCCTCAAGGTAAGACTTGCATGGAGAGAGCTGAGAAGTCTATCCTTCAACCTAAAACACTGCAAGGTGGAATATCTTTTAACTCAAGCTGGAATTTCTTTGACAGATTGTTTATATGAGAAGTGAGAATTGCTTCACTTCTGATACCTCACAAAGAAAAGCCAAAACAAATGAAGCCAGAGGGTGGAGGTAGAGAGAGACTTATAGGTTTTGATTGGGTTGATAAGGAGTGAGGAGGGTCCATGGATGCTGCAACATCATAATCTGGAAATTTGGTCTTTGATGGATAGAGTGAACAACTTGTTCAGCTAGTTACATAGCTCTGCGAATTCTTAGCAGACAGCCTTAACAGATGTAGTTGACAGGGATGAATTCTATCGGGATACAGCTATTCCATGGATGAGGTAACTGAGGGGATTGATGGGTTTGGGGACCTAATAGGATAGGGTGAGACCCATATTAATTGTATCCTCCTTTTTTACCAGTTTTGTGCTTCTTGTCTTTTATTTGATCATTAATAATGAAATACATGATGATACAATGTTAACTTAAAGGAAGAATTACTTTTTTTAAGAAAAAGAAAGTTTATTAATAAGAAAGGAAGGGGGGCATAAACCTTACCCCTAAAGAACAATACAATAGAAAACGCATGCTTAAAAGTTAAAACTATAAAATGTAAAAATAATTTCAAGTAGAATACAATGGACGGTAGCCTTTATTTGGCCTTGTTGATTTACGCACCAGGGCCAAAGGCCTATTTAGGTCTTGATCCTTTTTAGAGTTGTGGCCCTTCTTCTTTTGGACAGAAATGAAACCATGATCAAGAGTGTAATCTTCTACAGTCACTTTTATCTGGTACCACAGTGTTCCCAGGGTCATTAGCCCCAGGATGAGCGTCAAAATCTTCAGTTTGAGATTCCATGCCAATGGTAACAGATAGAGTTTCCTTCCTTTTCTGCTTTGAAGTAGTATCCCGTTTAGCATTAAGACATTGAATCATAGCACTAAACCTTTTCAGTTCCTCTATGTTAAAAGCTCTGTAAACATTATCCCACTCATTCCCCTCGTAATTCCCATAACCTACTTATTTGTGTATGAAATAAAGGGTAGTTTCTCCTCAACCATCCAGAATCAATTAAAAGGCCATTATCTAACATTATTCCTATTATCACATGTGTCATTCACATAGATGAATCTAGAAATTGTGTCGATTAAACAGCTGGAAGGAGTTTCCCAGCTGTTGCCAGCTGTACTTCTGGATGTCGGTTATCTATTTTGTATAAATCTCCTCTTGGATATTGAATGAACATAGTGGATGTTTTTTCTCTTTATGGTATCAGAGCCACACTCTGATCCTGTCTCTCTGTTGCTTGCATGGCAACTGAAACTGATCCCTCTTCACCTTATTTTCTGCACCCATCAGAGAATCTAGGAGTGGTGCTCGTTTCAAGTCCTCTCACCGGCGAGAACTATTTGACATGGCGACGAGCAATGCACAACATCCTGCAAGCGAAGAACAAATATGCTTTCGTCGATGGTTCATTGCCAAGACCAGAGGATTCCGAGAAGGAGCAAGCTTGGGTGAAGTGTAATTCCATGGTGATCTCTTGGACCTTCAATTCTTTGGCAAGAGATCTCCATAAAAGCGTTGTTTACATCGAAACTGCACAAGAAATTTGGAAGGATCTTGAAGATAACTTCTCTCAAAGCAATGTACCGCGCATACATCAACTGAAACAAGACATTGCTCTGTTGCAGCAAGGCGGACAATCAGTTGCAGCCTATTTCACGAAGCTGAAGGGGCTCTGGGATGAACTTGCAGTCTTGTCGTTAACACTTACGTGCAAATGTGGTGCTGCAAAGGAATTTGCTGCTGAACGTGAACGAGAGTGCCTTCATCAGTTCCTCATGGGACTGAACGAGAGCTTCAATACCATACGCACTAACATTCTCAATACAGATCTGCTGCCTGGAATCAATAAAGCCTACAATCTGATCGTTCAAGAGGAACAACATCAATCTCTTGTCGGTGTGCGATCTGCTCACACCACAGATGCAGCGGCCTTGAATGTTGTCACAAAATCAAATACGAAATTAAGGGAATCTTCATGGAGGTCAAAGCTCAAATGCGATTATTGCAAGAAAGGTGAACACACAAAGGATTGTTGTTACGAGCTTCATGGTTATCCTACTAATTGGGAAAGGGGGCGCAATTCACAATCCAAGAAACCTAGTGACACTCAGACTGCAACACAGACATCTGTTGAGACAGAAGAAATTAAGCAACCTCTTTCTGATAATGCATCTCCGATCATCAGACTAACATATGAACAGTATCAGAAGCTAATCAGCATTCTTGGACGCAAAAAGACCTCATCAGAAAATCCTACAACTTCATCTAATTTTGCCGGTATAATCTCTAAATCTCCATCCCATGCATCATCCTGGATTCTAGATACAGGTGCATCGGATCATATGACACCATATCCTGACCATGTGATTCCTTTGAAATCATCTCGTCTTGTAAAATTACCAGATGGTACATTCTTACAAGTCACTCATCACGGATCAATATCTCTTTCACCTTCGCTCACCATTGATAAAGTATTGTGCTCCCACAATTTCAATGCAACCTTTTATCTATGAGCAAGTTAACCTCACAACTTCACTGTTGTGCTATATTTCTTCTGGAATTTTGCATACTGCAGGACCTAGTCTCGAACAAAGTGATTGGAGTGGATAGAATGCATGATGGAATCTATCACCTGTACACTCCCAAATCCATGCCACCTACAACCTCTCCATTTTCAACCATTGATGATGATTCTTTAACTTCACTTACCATAAATAATTACACTACTGTTGATTACCAGTTGTGGCACAGATGGTTAGGACATGCATCTTCCAACCGAATTACTTCATTGTTTGGCTGCTCCCCTGCTGAAGATCATTGTTGTGAAGCTTGACACCGAGCAAAATTTACTCAACTACCTTTTCATCTCAGCACTTCCAGGACTGTTGCACCTTTTGGTTTACTACATTGTGATATTTGGGGTGGGTACCAAACCCCATCCATTACCGGTGCTCATTTTTTCTTAACAATTGTAGATGACCATTCTCGGTGCACCTGGGTAAATTTGATGAAAAATAAATCAGAGACATTTTCTCTTTTGACTGGGGCTTGTGCTATCATCAAAAATCAATTTGGAACCTCAGTTATGGTCATCCGTTTTGATAATGGGTCCGAATTCACATCTAGACCAATGATAGAGTTCTATACGACAAATGACATTATTCATCAGCGTTCATGTGTTGATACTCCTCAACGAAATGGAATTGTTGTGCGAAAACATTGACACATCCTGGAAGTGGCACGGGCTCTTCGCTTTTAAGCATCATTGCCCTTGCGATTTTGGGGTGAATGTGTCCTAACAGCTACTTACCTCATCAACTATACACCCACATCTACATTTAATGGGTGCACACCTTATGAGACTCTATTTCACAAAACCCCTTCGTATGACCATATTCGTGTGTTTGGATGCTTGAGCTTTGCTAGAGCCACTCCAAAACCACATGACAAGTTTGCTACAAGGTCACGAAGATGTATCTTTGTTGGTTATCCTTTTGCACAAAAGGTTTATCGTTTATATGACCTTGACACCCATCAAATATTTGTCTCACGAGATGTCACATTTCATATTGAACCCCAAAACTACCATCAAGCTGCAAAGGATCCTAAATGGCAGCAAGCTATGGCAGATGAAATAGATGGTTTGATACGGAACAATACTTGGAGTATAGTAGATTTACCCCAGGGAAGCGTGCCATTGGCTCAAAATGGGTGTACAAAGTCAATTTTAAAGCAAATGGCTCTGTTGAGCAATGTAAAGCCCGTCTTGTAGAAAAGGGTTACAACCAAGTTGAAGGGTTAGGCTATTATAACACCTATGCTCCTGTAGCAAAACATTGGGATTTGCATCAATTAGATGTAAATAATGCTTTTTTGCATGAAGATGTTTACATGACTATTCCTCAAGGGTTCAAACAAGGTCAACCTAATAAGGTTTGCAAACTACACAAGTCATTATATGGGCTCAAACAAGCCTCCCAAATGTGGTTTGAGAAATTCACTATAGCCTTGAAGTAGTATGGCTTTCAACAATCTCTCAATGATTATTCTCTCTTCACTCTTCATTGTGATGGGCATGTCACTAGTGTACTTGTGTATGTGGATGACCTCATTATCACTGGCAACTCTTCATCATGTATTGAAGATCTCAAGCACTATCTTCAATCATGCTTTCCTCTTAAAGATCTTGGTCCGCCGACTTACTTTCTAGGTATTGAAGTCATCACTACTCAACAGGGTATTTTTCTTTGCCAACAAAAATACATATATGACATTCTTCAAGAAACTAACATGCTGGGGTGCCAACCCAGTAATATTCCAATGGAACAACAGAAACATCTCCATGATGTCAGCAGCTCATTACTTCCAGATCCAGCCCGATATCAATGCCTAATTGGCCACCTAGTATATCTTACAGTCGCACGGCCAGATTTATGTTATTCAATGAACATCCTTAGTCAGTTCATGCATCAACCACGACAAGAACACATGGATGCTGCCATGAAAATTGTTTGTTATCTTTGGGCCATTGCCAATCTAGGCCTCTTTTTATCATCTACTAATGACTTATGTCTTATTGGATATAGTGATTCGGACTGGGCAAGCTGTCCATCACCCAGCGCTCCACCAAAGGTTATTTTACCATGCTTGGTACATCAACCATATCCTGGAAAACCAAGAAACAGCATACAGTCTCCCATTCTTCTGCTGAGGCTGAATGCCAAGCTATGGCATCCACAACAGATGAGTTGATATGGTTAAAGCATATCTTACAAGAGCTTACCGTTCCATGCAATCAGCCCATTGAACTTTACCGTGACAGTCAATCTGCTCTCCATATTGCCACCGATCCAGTATTTCATGAACGTACCAAACATATTGAATTAGACCATCATTTTGTCCGTGAGCAAATCATCAACAATACTATCCACACTTCTCATTTGCAAAGCAAGCAACAGCCTGCTGATTTGTTTACAAAGGCACTTGGCATTGATCAATTTCATTTCCTAAGAAGCAATTGGGCATTCAGTCTCTTCCTGCTCCAACTTGAGGGGGTTTATTATCACATGTGTCATTCACATAGATGAATCTAGAAATTGTGTCGGTTAAACGGCTGGAAGGAGTTTCCCATCTATTGCCAGCTGTACTTCTGGATGTCGGTTATCTATTTTGTATAAATCTCCTCTTGGATATTGAATGAATATAGTGGATGTTTTTTATCTTTAGTTCCCAGCTATCTGGGGTCTTAGGAGGGGTGGGCTGGATACAGACCTAGGCTTTGACATTTTTCACAGTGAGGGCGAGGGTCCTCAGTTGTATTTCACAATCAGAAATATAAAATCATACTGGTCGCTAAACTACTGTAATTTCACCGAACATGTAATCTTCACAAAAAGTGAAACAGGAACTGTTATTAATTGTTATTGGTACCATTGAGAACAGCGAGGTCGAGGGTGTCGACGTCAAAACCAGCATCAAAGTAGTGATCGTAGACATGGCCAGGTGCATCGACGTGGGTGCCGGTGTGGGTAGGCAACTTCATCTCGGAGTTGTTAGCAAGGGAACCATTCTTCATGCTCTTCGGGAGCCACAGAAATTGGCCTAACCCATCCGATGAACCCCAAGCAGGCATTTCCTCTCTGTACCTGTGACTTATATCGAAGATCCTTCCGTCATCGTACACCTCTCTCCTCACAGGGACTAGATCGTCTCTTAGTGAGCACGAACCCGAATCGTCGCCGTAACTCGGTGGATAGGCATAGGCCAGAGATACGACGGAAAATGTTATACTTTCAGTGCAGAGAAAGATCAGCAGTGTCAGGGGAGCTATCGTCCTAGTTGCCATGATGCCGTTGCCTCTTGCTGGGAAGTGAAATCGAAGCAGAGCAGAAAATGACTGATTTCGTGGGGAATTTAGCCAATCAATTGTTATTTATCAAAATTTATGGGAGGTTTTTGATCGGTCAAAACTCTTTCAATATATCTTTTCTGCATCATTAATAATTTTTTTTTTATTTTTTATTTTTTTATTCATATCATTTTTAAGGCAATCAAAACCTAAATAACCTAAATTATTTTCTACTTTCACAATAACCTAAATAATCTATTATCCTAAAGTTTTTTGTAAACTAACTTTTCCACTTTCTCCAAAATTATCTCTAATTTATATTTATCTTCTAAATTATCTCTAATTTCTATTTATCTTCTGAATTATCTCTAATTTCTATTTATCTTCTGAATTATCTCTAATTCCTATTTATCTCTAATTTAGTAGGGGGCCTATTTAGTATTTATCCTCTCCCCTACCTTTTATCTATAACTATCTAAAGAATGTTTGGATTAAAAAATTTAAGAATTATTTAAATATTCTAACAAAATTATATAATAAATTTAAAATATTTATTAAAACACAAAAAATAATTTTATGTTTTTACAAAATATATTATGAAATTATGTACTAACAATTTAAATTATGATTTTCTGGGTTATCAATTTAAATGTTCTTCAAGTATTTAATAATATGTAATAGCTTTAAATAAATAAAATTCAAAAAACAAAATAATTAAATATTTACTAGATTATTTAAATATTTAAATAACTAAATATTTATCATGACTAGATTTTAAATAGTTAAAATAACGAAATTATGTAATCAATTTAAAAACATTATTCAAAGTTGAAAAATAAATATAACATAATATTGAAATTAATAATAATTGAATATATTACAAAATTAATAATGAAATTATGTAATGATAGTATAAATTATGATTTTATGGATAATTAAATTCAATAAATAATTAATATTTTACATATAATTTAAGTATTTAAATAACAAAATATTTAACATAACTAGATTTTAAATAGTTAAAATAATTAAAGTATTTAATAAATTTAAAAAAAATTATAAAAAGTAGAAAAATAATTATAACATGATATTGAAATTAATAATAATTTAATATTTTTRCATAATATTRTAAATAAWTAATTTCACTTATATCAAGTAATAATTCGAGAAAATAACTTTCAAAAAATTAATACTCTTAATCTGTATTTATTATATAATTATATATACTAAAATTAATATTTATTGTATTTCAGTAATTATTTATTATTTTTTGTGATAAATGTATTTTCAATGATTATGTATAAATTTATTTTGTTTTTTTATTTAATAGAAAATTTTTAATAATTATTGGAGATTAAATTACTATTATTGAAATTTTTAAATTTAATTTTTGTATTTTTTGTTATAAGTTATTGATTAATATTTATTAGAGATTAAACTATTATTTGAGATTATACTATTTATTGACTAAGTTAATATATTTTTAGTACTTATTGTATTTTTGTGATTTCTATAATTTGTATTTTTCATTATCAATATATTTTTCAATAATTGTGTATTTTTTACTATAAGATTTCAACAATTATTGGAGGTTAAACTATTGTTATTTATTAGAGATGAGACTATTAATTTAGCTGAAATTATGAGTGTTCATGAGTTGAATCGGTTCAGTTATAGGCTATTTGGCCAACCAAATTGACTTGGTCAAGTTAGGGAGTTGGTCAAATGAAACCAACTAACCTTTTGTGAAAACTGACCCACTCAAGTTGTATTGGTTTGGGTCAATTTTTTGGTTTGGTTAGTCAGTTCAGAAGATCTAAACTTAAAAATTATAGTGCAATTATTGAAAAATAAATTTAAAAATTAGATTTATAATATAAAACATTTTAGACTAAGAAATATGGGAAATTTCCTACTTTTTTATATTAAAAAATATATTTTAATATTAATATATATCCATGGTTAGGTCATTCGATTTTGGTTAATTTACAAATGGCCAAAGTGAAACTGATCTAACTTGGTCGAATTGGGTAATTTTTGAACCAAAGGCAACCGAAAATACTAGAAAATCGACCAACTTGAGTCGAGTTAATTGGGTTGGTCGGTTTCATTAGTTTGATGAATAAACCTAACTAAAATTAATTATTGTTATTTTTGTATTATAAAAAATTTATTAAAGTAGTATATAAAATATTATTAATTATTTAAAAAGTTAAAAATATAAAATAATTGTATACTCTTTTGTGTTTCTATTAGGGCCATTTACTATAACAGACCTTTAGGGATGGCAATTTTCTCCATCCCCGATGGGGGCCCAACTTCCCCGACCCAATGGGGTCGGGGATGGGGATTGTTTTGGTAGGGTGGGGGTGGGAGAAGAGGATTAATAGGAATCCTTGGTTGGGGTCGGGGTCGGGGTCAAGGATGGGGATTAAGATCCCCGCCCCGCCCCAACCCCGATTATATATATTAAATATACTATTATATTATTTATATTATATATCAAAACATATTTAAAATATTATTTATAATTTAATTTTTATTAATTTTTAATAAATTTATTTAAAAAATACTATTATTTGAAAACGTTTTGAGGATTCGGGTCCCCACGAGGAACCCATCCCCATCAGGGATCAGGGGTGGGGGTTAATTTTAGAGTCGAGGTGGGGTCAGGGATGAGGAATATGATCCCCGCCCCGTTGCCATCCCCTACACACACCTTATAGTTTTACATATTTACTTAAATCTACCTTATAGTTTTCATTTTACTAAAACGTCTCATATATTTTACAACTTATTTACTTAATCAACATTTCATTACGAAGTGTTTGTTTTGCCATTAGGCCCATGATTTTTTATTCCAAAAATAACCTTAACACTTTTTTTTGTACAGAAAAAATTTGACCAAATATAGCCAATAGAGTGGTTGCTCGTGTCTTATTAAGGAAAAAATGGTATTTTTATTTTTATTTTCTTTTGATTAAATTTATTTAAGTAAAACATTAGGGTCAACACTTGTCATTTTCACTATCATCTAATGGAAGATTGATTAAATCCATTGCAAATTATAAGTGTTGTTTTAGTAAAATGCTAATTATAGGGTAGATTTTAGTAAATCCATGAAGCTATGAGGGGTATTTTAGTAAATGACCCTTTCTATTATTTAACTTTCGCTTAATAAATCCCGTGCATCGCACGGGTCCCCGCTAATTGTAATTAAATTTGGATTTTTTTTTTGGTAAACAAAAACTTCAATAAATCCAGCTAAACAAAAATACAAACAACACTACAAAAGTTCGGGTTGGACCCACCTGAGTAGCGGCCCTAATTACCCTAAACCAAGGTTGAAAGTAATTAGAAACGTCAATTGTATCGAGAAAGAGATGTATTGGGATATGTTTTGGATACGTATGCGTATTGGAGAAAAATTACGATATGCATATATAACAATATAACAATACTTTAATGCTTTAATATAACACTATAAATACTTTAATAAATCATAAAAATATAACAATAACACTAAATATAAGACCTCAAAGAATTGTGTGTGTGTGTGTGTATATATATATATATATATTAAATTAATATATTTTAATGGTTTTATGAAGAATAATTCTTAAGTTTATGGGATGGCAAAAACCCAACTCTCCTATCCAATCATAAAACATGCATTGGCACAATTTTTAAGTGAAAATATAATTAATAATTATTATTTATTTTTATTTTAAAAAATTATAAAAATAAAAAATAAATAAATAAGCATTTTACAATATATTCAAAAAAATAGTTATTAAAGAAGAAATTTCAATTGCTTTATGGATATGATAGATCATCCAGAGAATTATAATATATTCAATCATTATGATCAAATGATAAAATATAATTAATTATTATTTATTTTTCATTTTAAAATATATAAAAATACAAAAAAAAATATTAAAGAAGAAATTCCAATTACTTTGTGGATATGATAGATCATCCATGGAATTATAATATTATTCAAGGGCAAGAAAATTGCTTTCCCCCTTTATTTATTTATTTTTTAGTTTTTGGTTGTATCTTTTTCATAGCATATTGATTGATACATCCCGATACACCTCTGATCCCATAGGCCTGAAATTTTGTCCAAGCCCGGAAAATATTGGGCTGAGCCAGCCCGTCTGGCTACTCAGCCCACGAACAGGTCTACTGATCAACAATACATGGTTTAACGATCGATTTGGGTTAAAATTAGGTTTGACCATGGCAAGAATGGTAAAAAAAATTGTATATATATTAGTGGGGACTATGAGATGCACTAGTTTTGTTGAACACAATTCAAGCATAAAAGAATCTTGTGTGATGGGATTTATTATGCGATCAAAAGGAATGTTTTATGTTTCAAACGTTTAATACATTCATAGAAAATAATATTTTATAATTTATAGAATTATTGAAAAAATATAATTTTAATTAGGTTTAAAAGTAAATACAACCATAATAAATAAAATTAATAATGATCACATTGAAATTCTCTAGAAGTTGGTAAGGGGTAATGATGTGTAGGTCCATCTCTTGATAATTACAAATAGAAATAGAATTCGATTAATCAACTGATAATTTTTATTTTTTTAGGATTTTTTTTTAACTCATATCAGTTCTTAGCCAATCTATACTATATATGAAAATGTGGATGTAGAGTGAAAGTTTTTTTGGACTAAAATTGCTCTCTATTTCTTTGTTTGTGAAAAAGTAAATAGTATCCTTAATTGGTAGAAGAGAAAAGCTTGACAATGGACTTGCACGCAGAGACTTTAGAGGAAAAACATGTGAGTCAACTTCTTGATAATGTAATAGATTACACTTGGGAAATCCAATTCTCCCATCAAGATAGTATCCATCTCTGAATCTTTCATTTATCTCTACACCACTAGCTTTGGATTCTTCACTGATTTTCTTCTCGAAGAGAGAGAGAGAAGTGACAAAAAAAATGAAGAGATAGTGCAAAGGTAATAGGATACAATAGGTAAAATGTCTTTCTACATCAAAGCAAACCATTGAAATATTTCATTCTGTGAATGGAAGTACTTCCTACAAAATCTTTTTTTTT